CTTCTGGCAGGACCTTAGATGTATCAACAAGAACATCGTTAAAAAGATTCCAACTTTTCTCAACACTTTCTAACCTAATTATATTCAAGTAGTTGGCTTCTTTCCCACTTAATACTTGATCAAAATATCTTGCATCATCCGATGTTCTTATTTTATTTAGTTTGCGAGTTATACCATTACGCGAGGGAATAGCGCTAGAACTAGTTAAAGATTGTCTGATTCCATTATGATACCCCCATAAATTTTTAACCATAATAATTGCTCTAAGCAGTCTATGATCTGATAGGTTTATATTAGTTAGGGCCTTTACATCAACGAACCAACGATGAAGAAATCGATTTGTGATTGCTGCTGAGCTCTTACAAAGGTGTAAGTACTCCTATCTCCATGACTAAAAAAAGAGTTTTCAATTTAAAACTTTTATTGCTATAGAAATCAAGTAATTTCTTACTGTATTCGCTATTCCTTTGTATTAAGTGGCATGCCCAGTGACGTTTCTGTTCATATATTCCACTTCCCTGCCAATATTCATATTTAGATCACCTAATATTATAATGTTATATCTCTCTGGTAAGGAGTGTATTATGTTAATCATTATATCTATAAAGGCTGATCGCTCATTCCTGTTTGGTGGGAAGTAGAAATTTACGATTATTGTAGGCTTGAAGTTCGTATTAAAGTATAGAAGCCCACACCTTTCCGAGATGGGTACAAATTTCATGACATATTTCTGCATTCTCTTATTAATGAGGAAAGCGATCCCCGACCAACTATTGGAGGTGGTGCCCGAGCAAAACATTTTATAATCATAAAAATTAGCCGTAATATCTCCAGGGTAGTGGGTTTCCTGGATCCCCAAAATGTCAATTTTTTCCGCATTTAACATCCTTAAAAGAACTGCCAGTTTATTCATCAATCCATTAATGTTAAGAGATGCTATTTGTAGCTTACCTGTAAATTTATTCTAAACAAAGTATTTAAGCGTAAGAAACAAGGCCGTTAAGGAATTAACTATAATAGAACTTAGGAGAGTGATATTACAAGGAGAAAGATCAGACCATAGGGAAAGAAAGCTCACCAAAACAATGATAGATACCTAGTAAGGTGTGATACATCATCCATGAGATTTTAATTTATCATTTACTATTTATACTAATAAGCTATAAATATAAAACAAAGGTTATACCAGCGACATTAAATAAGATATGAAAAATCTTACCTCAAGCCGATGGCTCAAGCCGATTCAAGGCTAATCCGGCTAGCCGTTTAACAACGCTAACAAATAAATAAATTTCGAATCAATAGTCGGCTTGAGCTAAGTCATGAGCCCACTCGAGCTAAATTTGACTCAAAAAGCCGGCTTAAGTCAATTTTAGACTCAAAAACTAGATGAGTTTTCAGCCGTTTACCAATACTAATCTTAAATAAATTTCGGCTTGTGCCAAAATGAAGATCATAACAATTGGTCTACGACACTTATTTCATCGGTATAGCAAACTTTTGTTTTTTTTCTACCGAAGTATAAATATGATATTGCACGAAGTATATTAAAGATCTGCAAGAGTAGGCCCGGCCAGTACCTGGTCCGAACGGGCGTCAAGCCTATATTTTAAAAAAAATCAGGTTCGGGCTGGGACAGGTCTAATATTTTTTTAAAAAAATTCGGGCCTGGTGTTGCTCAGGCCTGATAAATTTTTTTATCTAAATTTATCAATTTTATGTTAAATTTTTTATGCAAAATAAAATATTTGTTTTTATTTATAGAAACTAGACGCCATATAATATATATATCGTTTATTTAGAATTATTTATAAAACTAATTTCTATATTTATAATAAATCGGGCCAAGCCGATAAATTTTTTCATAAATAATTTCGGGTTCGTACCGGGTCGGCAAAATTTTATTAAAAAAATTTCGGGTCAGGCCGGGTTTTAAAAATAAGGCCCGATGCAGATCACTAAACTATATTGTAATTCTTGATGATATTAAATGTTTATTTAGACAAAACTCATTCACAAGTTTAATCATACATAAGTATTCATTAAAAAATAAATAACATAAAAAATAATATACCACCCGAGACGAGAGTGGCAGCATCCGGAAATTTTAAATCATTAATTATATTTGTTTGAAATTTACTTTTTCCAAAGTTAGATTTTTTATATTTTTTTATTTATTATAATATAATAATATTAATTTTTTTATAATTATTATTTATAAAATAAAATCCATGCTTTTTTAGTTTATGTAAAAAAAAGTAAATAAATTCAAATAATTTATTTTTTAAAAAAGGTAGGAGAGGAACGACGGGACTTTTATACAAATAATTTTATTTTCAAATAAAAAAATATAGATTATTCATTTGACGAATATTCTTCCTCACAGTCTCAGTCACATCTGGAAATTACAGGGATAGAGGTAAGGTCAATTATATAATATATGCTTATTTTTTAGTTTTTCTTTAAAAGTAGTTAGAGTTACATAATTTTGTTAAAATTTGTAATCTTAAACGAGATACATAGTCTTTTGTTAATTAAAATAATTTTGATTTCATTAAGTAAATTTGAATCTGCATATTATTTTATTAAATCAACTACCAATTCAATTTAATTTAGGTTTATGGCAATATGCTAATTGGCTCAGCATCCGATTA